CGATTCTAGTGTTGATGGACATTTGGGAAACAAAAGGGTTTTGCTATTTCAAACCATGCCACTCTAAACATTCTTGCATTCCTGTGTGCTCATCCACTTGTGCAGAGATTCTCCAAGGCACACAGCCAGGACTGAAATTACTGGGTAATGTGGTAGCACCAATTCACATTTCCACTAGGAGTGTATGAGAGGTGCCACTCCTCCACAGCCTCACCACTTCTTGCTATTCTCATCCTTTCTAATTTTGTGCTCATCTAGTGCTTAAGAAAGGGTATCTTACTGTGGTTTTGATGTGCATTTATCTGATACTAATGAGGAGGAATACCTTTTCACATGTTTAAGAGCAATTCCTATTTCATCATCTGTGTAATGTCTTAGATCTTTTACCTGTTTTTTAACCTTTTTTTGGTAATTTTCTTACTGCTTAATGGGCACGCTTTATGTATTCCATGTACTAATCCTTTGTCAGATATATGTATTGAAAATAATTTCTCCCAAATTGGGTCTTGTGTTTTCTCCCTCCTTATGGTATCTTGATGGACAGAAATTCTTAGTTTTAATGGTCAAATGTATCAACCTTTTCCTTCTTGTGTCATGTAAGGAATTATTCCTTATCCTAAGCTTATTAACATATTCTCCTATATTATCTCCTTGATGCTTTACATTTTCACCTTTCGCCTTTTAGGCTCTGGGTTAGGAGGGTGCTGAGTGTGTTAGGGGAACAGTAAGGAGGCCATTGTGGCTGGAGTGGAGTGAGTGGAGGAGGAGGAGCAAGAGGTGAGGCAGAGAAGTGATGGGAGGAACATCATATGGGCTTTGAGGTGAGGGCCCGCTACTCCAGGTGACGTGAGAAGCCATGGGGGAAAATTCTGAGCAGAGTAACATGATCTGACTTATGTTTCAACAGGACCATTTTGGCTACTGTACAGACAATAGATTTAAGGAGGGACAAGGGAGGAGACAGGAGACCAGCTGAGAGACTATTGGCATAATCCAGGCGAGAGAACATGGTGGCTTGGAGCAGGTGTCAGGCAATAGGGGTGGTGAGAAGCCATCAAAACCTGGATGTATTTTGAAGGCTGAGGTGACAGGTTTCCTCATAGACCTGATGTAAGTGGAAGAGAAAAGGAAGAAGCAAGGTTTTGGCCTGAGCAACTGCACCGATGGGGTTACTGTTAACTGAGACAGAAAGACTGAAGAAGGAGCAGATTTTATAGAGCTTATGGGGAGGTTTGTTTTTGACATGGTAAGACTGAGATGCCTGCTAGATATGCAAATGGGATCTTAAGTAAGCACTTTGATGTCAGGTCTGGATTCAAGAGAGAAAGAGCTCCGGGCTAGTGATAGAAATTTGAGGGTCATCAGCATTAGTGGTGAAATATGAAATCCTTAGAATGGATCAGATCCCTCTGGGAGAAAATAAGTTTATGACAGAGAAGAAGCCTAAAAAGTGGGGCTCTGGGGCCTTCCTGTAGTGCTGGGGAAACAAGGAAGAAGCAGCAAAAGAATCTTTGAAGGAGCAGCTTAAAAGATAAGAGGAAATCCATGCAAGAGGTGAACATATGTCAAGGAGGAGTTGGTTGTCAACTGGGTTAAAACAATGCAAAAGCATTTACAGACTCTGCGGCCAGTCAGCATATATTAAGCCCCAACTAGGTGCCAGGCACTGGTGATTGAAAGAATGAATAAGCGAGAAAGCTGGGGCCCCTGACCTCCAAGAGCTCTCAGTATTGTAGTAGGGACAAGTATGTATTCAAATGAGTGGGACTATATAAATGAGCAGGACACATGCTATGCCCGGTACAGCCCTGGTTCAGAAGCACAGAGAAGAGAGTGGACAGTTGTCCTTTGCCTCCTCCAGGCAATCTTATCTACGCTCACACTTTTAACTTCCCACTGTGACTCTTCCCTCAAATCTGTTTTTCAGTCCCAGCCTCTCCCCCCAGCCTTTTTCATATCCAGCTGCCTGCTAACACCTCTTTACCTGATTGTTGCACAGTATGCAGCTCACACACGATATATCGAAAAAGGAACTTACCATTTCCCTTTTTCTCCCTCTTGCCAAGTGTCCAAACACATGATAAAGATATGATTGCACAAATTAAGTGGTCCAAATATAGATATCCCAGAAGCCCAATAAATAAACACATAAATGAATACAATGGCTAAATGAATTTAATACAACAGAAGGGTGGTATTAGTAATTAGTGCTGGAACATAATAAGGTATTTGGGAAGTGGGAAAGTGTTTAAATCCTCACTTCAAACCTTTTGCCATCATGAACCCGAGATGGAGTAAAGACTTTAATGCAAAAAAAAAAAAAGAATAAATCATAAGAAACTGGAAGCAAAAAAGCATGAACAAATCACAAATCTTTGGATGGGCTGTTTTCAGTGAAAAACAGTGAAATAATCTTCACCATGACCCCTGACTCCCACAGACTATGTTCCATCCCAGCTGGCACCACCACACCCTCACCCAAACCAGAAACCTACAAATCATTCATTGTTCCTTCCTTTCCGTCAGCCCTCACCCCAGCCGTCGCTGTGTCCCCCTGGCTGTACCCCTTAGCATTTCTCTAACCTCCTATTCCCATCGCCCTGACTGCTTTCTTATTGCTACCAGATCTCTTGGTTTTTGAAATAACTTGCTGAGGTTTCCTTCCCTCCATGATTGTCTTTCACACAGTGGCCAGAGGGATCTTTCTGCAGCACACATCTGACCCTGCCTGAAATTTCTCAGTGCCTTCCCGTTGGCCTCCCTGGTAAAGTCCAAACTCCTGGGCAAGGCTCTCAGTGGCCCCAACCCCGGGTTCTTCGCTGAGGCGCAGTTACTCCCTGCAGCCCTTCCAGAGATTATCTGTGAGGGCAGATTACTGTGAGGCACAGCCGTGATACTTTCAGGGACCCAATAAAATACCTTAATTTTAATTTACTTTAAAATCAGGAAAAAAAAACTAACATAATACTAAAGATCCAGCATGGACTTTAAACCGAGTCATAAACTATAATTTTTACCATTCTTTAACGGAGGAACGGGTCTGTGAAAGCAGAAGTGCCCACAAAGATCATAATGCAGACCTGATTACATTACCTAAATAAAGTATTGCACTTTAATCTTTACATCAGGCTCTGCTTTCTAGCAACCTATGGCTTCCATTCTTATGGTTACCTTATTGTTCCAAGAAGACTGCTCAATCGCCAGGTATCACCTCTATATTCCAGGCAAAGGGGGTACAGTGCATCCATTCTGGTTTTCAGGAAAGCACAAGCTTTACCATAAAGTCAGTCCAGCAGACCTCCACATCTGTCTCATGGCCAGATTGTCACATAGATCACCTAACTGCAAGGGAGGCTGAGGAATCCAGTAGTTAGCATCCCAGCCTGGAGTGTATTGAGTGCTGGCTACTCAGGGCATAAAGGCGTCTGATCTGACCCTTCTCCACCCTCTAGATCCATCTCTGATCCCCGCCCCCACCGCCACTTCCCACCGGCTCACACAGGATGCTCAGGGATCTCCCACTGTGTGCAGTTCCTCCACCATCTATACCCTTTCTCACATCCACACATTTGCTCTTCCTGACCTGCTCCACCCCCAGTTCTGTTCCACTTTGTCATCCTTCAGAAATTGTTCCCTGACTTCTCCTCCCACCGCGACCTCAGTGAGGTGCCCATTTCATAACAGCCCAGACACAGGAGTACTAAGGGATGCAAGGATGGAGAAGTACCTGTTTCTGCACTTTCCTCCTGTTGAATCAGCAGTGCCTA